AATGTTCTTGCCTGCCTCTAGCTAAACCATCTAAAACCTAGCAAGCAAAATCCTCAACACCCAAATCTGGGTATTGGGAAATCAAGAGGCTTCACTGACTTTGCATCTGGCAGTTAAAAACCTTATTTCGCCAACAAATATTTACAAAATGGAAAATTTGGCTTCAGTTATCATAGTTGAAATGCACATCTGCTTCAGGCAGCAATGATGCCCAAAAATATCTACAAAAGTTTCTATCTATGACTACTAGGGGTGGGAGAGGACTCAAGGATATGCCATGGGAAGAGAGAAAAGGCAAGGATGCTCAGTACCTGCTCTTCCTTGGGTCTTGTTGACATTTTATCTGGTAATGCAAAACTCAGCATTTTGAGAAGATCAGCTAAGTCATGTCTTCTCAAGAAATATGATCTTTCTGCTCATGGGTCAAGGATGAAAAAAGTTCTTCCGGCTCTGAAATTCCCTGAGGTCCAGAACAAACTCTCCTTAATAAACTCTCCTGAGAACTGCTCCCACCACTTCATGTCACAGTGCTGGGTGCATGGTACCTCTCTCAAGCAGGTGCATCCCATTGCTTCCAAAGAAGAAAACCATAATTTTAAGAAAAATGACCAACTAACTTCCCCTTTTTATGATGCTTCTTCCCAAAGTTGTTGTTCTCTGCAAATTTTGCAGATATAGACACTGTGCCTTGAAAATTTTTTTTGAGATTTTATTTTTAAGTAATCTCTACACCAAACATGGGGCTCAAACTCATAACCCCAAGATCAAGAGTTGCATGCTCTATCAACTGAGCCAGCCAGGCACCTCTGGAAAAAAATTTTTTTTAATTTTGGCAATATACATAACATGACATTTTCCATTTTAACCACTTTTAAGTGTATAGTTCAGCAGCATTAAGTAGATTCATGTTGTGCAACTATCACCACCACCCATCTCTGGAGTATAAATAAGGTGCTCAGCCCACAAAGCTGAGTTCCAGAACTGAAATAAAATCCAAATGGTGAGAGTAACTGCCATTTTCAATGTCTATCTGCTCTACAAACACACAGGGCCATATACATAATTTGTCAGTATAGTAGCTGAGACCTAGAAACTCTGCTCCTTCACAAACCAGAAGGAAGAATCACCTTCCTCTAACTGATGAAGAAACACTGATTCTTCACAAAGGGAGATGGGGAATCTTAGCATCAGCAAGTTCTTTAGAGAGCTGGACAGCTTCGGGGATACAGCAAAGGCAAGTGCAAATTCATAGGTTCTTCCTGAGATTTTGGCTGGACAAGTGTATCCAGTTCATGATTCCAAACCATTAAGGCATCCAGATGCCTCAGGATATCTATGAAAAGGAGGATTAAGGTAGGTGTTGGGGAAACCTAGCAGAAGGAATGCCAAGTCCCATTCCGTATCTCACTATGAGGAAATGCATGGTTTGGATAGAAGCAAGAAAATGGACCTGATAAGCTCTCCCTAATTTTCTCATGGGAAAAATCCCACATAGTCTGCTTCAGATGATAAATACAGAAAGTCCTTAAAATAAGCTTCAGGCAGAACCCCAGCATGAGTCGCGCAGTATAAGAGGGCAACAGATGAACACCAAAGATAACAAGTACCATTTACCTAATACTGAGTCTGTACCACAAAAAGATCCTTTACTAGATCCTTCTTCCTATGTATTAGGATCTTGACAACAACTCATTTGATCTTGACAACAACTCTGTGTAGTATAGATCCTGTTATTATTCCCTTTATTTTTTTTAATTTTTATTTATTTATGATAGTCACAGAGAGAGAGAGAGAGGCAGAGGGAGAAGCAGGCTCCATGCACCGGGAGCCCGATATGGGATTCGATCCCGGGTCTCCAGGATCACGCCCTGGGCCAAAGGCAGGCACCAAACCGCTGCGCCACCCAGGGATCCCCTATTATTCCCTTTAAACTAAAAAGAAAAATTATGTATGAAAAAGTGTGACACACTCAAGGTCACACAGTTTATGAAGCAGATTCACTGTAAGGTCTGTGTTACTCTAAATCCCATGGTTTTTTTTTTTAATTTTTTTTGATTTTTTATTTATTTATGATAGTCACAGAGAGAGAGAGAGAGAGGCAGAGACACAGGCAGAGGGAGAAGCAGGCTCCATGCACCGGGAGCCCGATGTGGGATTCGATCCCAGGTCTCCAGGATCGCGCCCTGGGCCAAAGGCAGGCGCCAAACCGCTGCGCCACCCAGGGATCCCTAAATCCCATGCTTTCGATTAACAGCCTTTTAAGGGAGAAGTTATTTTCATACCTTCATGGCAAAGAAAGAAAACTGTTCATTAAAAATCTCTTGGCTGAAAAATTTTAATGCTTAAAAACAGCCCCAATTAAACTTCAGCAGGTTAAGTGTGGAACAAGCACAGATTCAGGATTCCTCCAGCCGCTGGAGGTTTTGACATGTGATCCTAGGCCAGGCACTCCGCTTCTCTAGCCCTGGGTTTCCCAGGGAACTTATAAAACAAGGCCGCTTCCTCTGTTCTCCGCCTACAAAGCATTCCACCGGGTCAATGACCCGTGCTGAGATAATAAGGCTGATAGTCAAAGATGAACCTATTGGCCAAAGGTTTCAATCTCTTCTCTCACCAACTTTCTTCTTCATTATCAGAGCTTTCCACAAAAGTTATCAACTAATCGCCAAATAATTATGCAGCACCTACTATGCACGCAGCCACACAGCAATGCGTGAGGAGCATTCAGATGCATAGGCACCGTCTTATGCCTTGAGGACCTATCTCTGAGTCTGGGGACTTGTAAGATATATGAAACTAAAGCAAAAAAAACATCTGCTGAGGATGCTTATTATTCAGTATCTCCTAACCCTAACTACAGATACAAACTGGAGAGACTAGAATTCAGAAGAACATCACTTTGAACTAGAAAAGCTGAAGTTTTCAACACAGAGTAGGGTTTTAAAACAGCCTTATTAGATGTATAAGTTTTGGAAAAGAAGGGACAGGCATTCCAGGTAAAAGGAACTCCAGGAGCGAAGGATCTGGAACTGGATAGAGTTGTATACAGGCAGGATGTGTGGTCATACAAGAGACCAAAACATCGCTCGGGGTGGGGATTTTGGGTGAGCAAAGGGAACGCAGACTGGGCCAGATTTTTGAAGACCTGAATGCCTGACATGGTAAGCTGGACTTGAAGTGGGAACAAAAGGTAATGGGTGATGTGGTAAACACTACTCAGTTTGGATTTCTTGCCTACTCTGACTCCAGTAGGGGAAAAACAAAATCCAGGGGTCATAAAGCCCAGGACAGGAGCCATCCCAGCAGGGAGGCCCCAGAGTGTCAAAGAACAAGATATCTCCTAGAGGGCAAAAGCTCATTACATTTCTGAAAATAGAACAGGAACACAGTAGATGCCCCAAAATGCTCAGGAGGCAGTACTTTGATCCACTGCCCATCTCACAAGGACCTTTCAGCCCCGATAGGCCACCAGTCAAGCAAATTGGGCCTGATCTCTAAACCGCCATTCACATCACCCCTGCCCTTCTGCTAGCTATCAGACTGATGGAAGGTGAGGACACTACCAATCTCTGCTACCAGCCAAGGAAATAGGCCTCCAGATGCTTTGCTGCCCAGCACGCCACATGGAGTCCAACCTCTAAGCTCCTGTTGCAAAAAGCACTGAGAGAGAAGTACATCAGCAGCATGCTCAGACTAAAAGTCCCAGACTCTTCCTGTGGGAATCACATCAAGAATCGCAGTCTCTGGGGCCTCATCAGACAGGAAGCCGTCCAACAACCATGCCAACCCTAACAGGGTCAAGAGATGGTTAATGGCATCACCCAGCCCTGTGGGATGCAGGAGTCAGGGCTGTATGTGCAGAGGAAAGTGTTTATTGAGGTAATCTCCAGTGCTGAGCTAGCTGAACCTGTTATCATTTCACCAGCCTGTTATCATCTGCATCAAACTACTAACTCAAAGCAGCAGCCCTCCTGTTTGTGGTGCCACACCTGACCCCTCCATGACTGAGGCCCCCGGGGCCTTCGCCTCCCCTCAAGGAAAATGGCAAGCCTTGTTCTCTACCACTGCAGACCTACAGAATGAAGAGGCTGACACAACAGGAGGAGACAACGTTTTAGCACAGAGGAATGACCCGCCCCCACACTGCACAGAGCACCTCCCAAATAAAAGAATCAGACCCTTAGATAATAGTTTAAAATGTCTATGCACGTGCCTGCTGGAAAATAAACTCTTGCTAGTTAGATCCAGCTCAACAAAGTACATCAATTCCCTTCTGTTCATTCCTATTTCACAGGAATCCCTGATGGAAGGAGCAGGAGTTCCTCTAAAGCACATACATTCCAGTATCATCCACAAACTTTTCAATGAAAATAAAAGTCAGTTCAGAGCAAGTGTCACCTGAATGGGTTTCTCCCCTTCTTATTTGAACTGTGTACATGGGCGCACGGGCGTGCACACACACACACACACACACACACACACACACACAGACACACACATCCTTTTAGGATAGACATGAGCATGGTACTCTTGAGATTGGAGCACGTTGGTGTGAACATGTAAGCACTCCATGCCAGGCCAGCCCTGATGTGACATCAGAGACCCCCCCCCCACCAAAGAAAAACCACCCCCCAGAAAGTAGCCAAGAAAGGGAAACGCCTCCTTGAGACGGCCTGGGAAGGCAATCCCGGCTCATCCCCTGCTAAAGCTGCACCGGAGCACCAGCCAGGAAGTCCCCTGTTGCGGGGGCACCGCTGCCCAGTAAGCCCAGTCCTGCCTCAGGTCTCTGCGAAGGGGCTTCCCTGCCCTGCCCGGGCTGCCCCCTGGGACCCATCAGTGGCCAGGTCTCCCACCCTGCCTGGCCAGTACACATACAGAAGCTAGGAGCTGCACCACTGGCTCCCGCTCGTGCTCGCTCGCTCTCTCTCTCTCTCTCACACACACACACACACACACACACACACACACACACACACACACACACTTCATAACATACATACCTCTCACCCTCCATGAGGCGAGGCCCAGCCGGGTGCGCCCTCTGCGCTGGGGGCCAGCCGCGGGAGATGCGCTCAGCAACAGTGATTCAGCATGGCTGGCTGCGAACGCAGCCTCCTCCCTCTCGGTCCTCCCGCCTCTGACTGACTCCCAGCAGCTTCCACCGCAGCACCAGCAGCAGCAGCAGCAGCAGCAGCAGCAGCAAACGTCTTACCCAGAGCTCCCTGCAGCCCTTTCAGCTGCTAGAGCAGCAGCCCACTGGCTCCCCTCCCCCGCCGGCCGGCTGCTCCCGTCTCCTAGGAACAGCGCAGCCCCAGCCACCCCAGGGCGCGGCCACCTTGCCAGCCGCCTCCAGCTGCCCGGGCATCCCCGCCTCAGGCCACTCGCCCACCGCGGGCGGGGGGGGGGGTGCCTCCTGTGCCCACCCTGCAGAGGCTCAGGCTGTCCCTCCCCCTCCGGAGCCCAAGAAACCCCGGCTTGGCCCCCGCCCCCACCCCCCAGGCTGCGAGGCCCTGGGCCGGCCACGTTGCTGGAGTGAGGAGGCCTCTCTGCGGCTTGCCGGGGAGTCTATCCACCTGGGGAAACTGGCTTGTAGGTCACAGCTCCTGTTCCAATTCTCCCTCACAAAACCTACAGTAGCTCTGAGAGTCTGACGGATGGAGACAAGTTAGGGGGAAGGAGCCTGATAGAGCTGAGAATGCAGAGAGAAATTTTATGAAGAGAAGAGACAGGGGTGAAACTGAAACAAACCCTACTGTGCCTCAAGGAGCCCAAGACCATGCAGTGAGGCCAGCACAGGGAGCACTGCGCACGCTAGACTAACCTATGCCATACTGAAAGACCACAAATTTCATAGCACGGCCCTAAAATATCTTCCTAAAGCACTGAAATGTAACTGAAGCTGTGGCTGCAACTAGTAAGTCTCCCACTGGACCCCCATCTTCATCCTGTCATCTCCAGCTGCTGAACCTCAGCTTAGACTGACTTAACTCCATGACCATCTTGGGAAGGCCAAAGGCCAGTCTGTGTCTCCTGGTCACAGCCAAGAGGCTTAGAGGAAATTTAGGCAATCAGCCACTGGTGACTGGTTAGCCACAGAAATGGGTTTAGAAGCTTCCTTAATGCCTCAAAAATCATACATAAGCACCCAGATTCTCAAACCATCCATGTCACACCTGGCTTTTCAGGACCTATCCCACCAATGGCCAGTTGAGCGACTTTCAGCAAGTCTTCTCCCCACTCTGAACCTCAGCCCCTCATCCACACCACAGGATCAATCCAGAGTCCCTTTCAGCTCTAAAATCACATGATTCAAAAAAAAAAAATCACATGATACTAAAAATGTCTTAAAATGCTCCATTTTTCTTGTTTGTCTTTAAGAACACTTAACAGGATGTTTTTACTGGACTCTAATATTTCATAGGGGGCTTCAGGGAGGATGACATAATATATGTGAAGGTAGAAGAGAGATGATCACTGAATCTAAGATTGTGATAATTTTGACCTGCTGAATTTCTTCACTGCTGCAGAGCCTTGAAACAGCAAAACAGGGGGTCGGGCTGGGAGGACAATGAGGCAACAGAAACTGGGAGTCACTTAAACTTTATACAGTCTCCTGAACTCAAACCAGTAGTGTTATACTCGAAGATTCTCTCGTAGATGAGGGCACTACCCAAACTCTCTCAAATGAGACGAGGCCTGGGTTATTTACATCCTACAGCCCTTGATCACTACTTCTTCCTTTCACAATACCCCGAGTATCTTTCTCCTTCTGTCCCTTCCTCCTCTAATCTGCCTTGTGGCTCTGCGCCAGATATTTCCTCTTGAGGTGAATCACAGGGACCAGGAGAAGCTGAACACCACAAATAAGGAAACTGAATCCCAGAATTCGTGCCAGAGTGCAGCCATCCACCAGGAAGACAACTGGATGATTCATAAAAGGAACAGAAGAGTAAGATTAAGTCCCTCTTTTACGACTTTATACCCTCATTCACCAATTCACCAGACAGGAAAGGAGGGAAATGTTACATCTAACAAACCGGAGAGAAACAAAAAAGAAGGTCAGAAAAGGAAATACTTCAGGCTGAGAATATACAGATTTTATTTGACAGCTAGTATGAAAATTTTACAGCATTTCCTTCGTAACCTACTTTTGCTGCACTAACCAATGTCCCCATGATGTCTGCATTGAAACCACGCTACTACCACCTACACAATTAATCATTCACTTCATCCACAGAGGCACAGAGAACAGAGAACACCAAGAGAAGGCCACTTAGCAAAACCAGGGGGCAGAGCTGAGTCAAGAATCAAAGTCTCCAGATCCTTCACACAAAGTTCCTACCCTAATCTTCTCTAATTTCAGAGCTACATTTTACATTTTCTACTTTATCATCCAAATGTTCTCTGGGCCACAACCTGAACCTACTCACTTTTGGCTCATTTTCTCAACTAAACTTCAGATTAAGAAGTTTCAGGTTCTCATGGTAGAGGAAAATCAATGGAACTGGAGTGGTGTCCGCTTGGAGGAAGAGGCCCCATCCTTGGACTGCCCAGCAGTCGTGTCTCACCCACTTCCAGCTCTCCTTCCCGTACCCAAGGCTTCTCCCACAGCTCACCAGTAGTACTTAGTGGCCCCAACTCTCCATCCCAAAGCCATCTACTGGCCATCCACACCCAGTTTGTGCAGAATTCTTCAGCTTTATGTGGCTCAGAAAGAAACCATGTTAGGAAAAGAAACTGGTTTGTTTTTGCTTTGTTTTTAACTGGGTTTCATCTAGAAAGTTCTTTTCTCCACACCTCATCTCTCTGCAAGGTGCCAGTACAGCACAGCTTATCTAGAGACAGTAAAGCCAAGCATTCTTTTGAGTATTTTTTTCTTTTGTCACTTTCATCCTCCTCCTTCAGGCATTCAGTTTCTCACATTTGCAGGCACAGTGCAGTGGTCCAACACCTCCCCGTGCATCAGAACCATCTGCCTAGATGGTTAAAACTGTACACATTGGGGGGTCAAGAGGCACAAGGAAGGTTTTTAGAGTTATGGAAATGTTCTACATCTTGAGTGCAGTGACCCTTAGACAACTGTATACAACTACTATATTTCATCAAACCAGACACTTAAAATGGGTGAGTTTTATCTTATGTCAATTATACCTCAATAACCCTGGGAAAACAAAAACACTATAGGGCCAGGCTCTATCTCACACCTATAGAATTGGAGGCCAAGAAGCAGGAATTTCAATGAACTTCACAGATGACTCTAATGCACTTAGAATAACAAAAAGAGCTGAAACCATCAGTACAAGAAAGACCAGGATCCAAATGTACTTACCAGAAACATGACCCTTGGCAAGTTACTTTATAAGTCTCAATTTCCTCATGTGCGAAAAGAAGACAATAATAGTACCAACCCCCAAGGGTTCTGAGGTCTAAGAAAGTATATAGAGCGCTCAGCAGACCACCCTGCCTGTTATGAGCACAGAGGAACCATTAGCAGTGGTTCTTTTCCATGGCCTATGCTGATATTACCAAACTACAGCTCCGAGAGTCTTTGGCTCTGAGGTCAAGCAGAAAGTCCACCAAGGTACCTTGTGCCAGAAATACAGACCCAGGCCTCTCCTGTAGCCATTTCCACATCTCCAATGATCCTTACTGCCAATAGGCCACTAAGAACTAAGCAATACCAGAGCTAAAATTAAGGCCCACCCACACCTGTATCACCAGAACTTCCCCTGAGATTCTGGACCACCCAAGGAGTAGATTCCCCGTAGACTTGCTCTCACTGCCCTAGGAAGCCAGGCAGAAACTAAAAAGGAACTTAAGCCCAAAACAGTCCAAAAGTAAACAGAACAGCACCTTATCCCAAGGAATACCTGACTGCCCTCAGGACTCCTCCTCTTGAGGGTGGAAGAACCCATGTCCTGAATAGTTTCAAGAGTATAATCACACTTTAAAGCTTACAAAGCACTTCATGTCCCTGATCTCCTTTAACTTAAGAGAACATGTCCTGAAAAGTAATAGCAGCTTCCAACTCTGGACTATTTTCTCTGGACCAGACTCTGTACTCAAGGCTTTATATACCTATAAACCCTTCTTGTTTAATCATCACAGTAAGCCTGTGAGAAAGGACCATTATCCCTGTTTTAAACATTAAGTGTACAGAAACACAACAAATTTTTGTAGATTGATTCCATATCCTGCAACTTTACTGAATTTATTAATTCAAACAATTTTTTGATGGAGGCTTTAGTTTTCTGTATATAATACCATGTCATCTGCAAATAGTAACAGTTGTACTTCTTCCTTTCCAGCTTGAATTCCTTTTATTTCTTTTTCTTGTCTGATTGCTGTGGCTAGGACTTTCAGTACTATGTTAAATAAAAGTGGTGAGAGTAGACATTCTTATCTTGTTCCTCATCTTAGAGGAAAAGTTTTCTGCTTTTCGCCAATGGAGTATGTTAGTTGTGGGCTTGACATTTATAGCCTTTATCATGTTGAGGTATATTTCTTCTACATATAATTTGTGAAGAGTTTTTATCATAAGTGGACATGAATTTTGGGAAATGTTTTTTTGCATCAATTCAGATGATAACTTTTATCCTTCATTTTGCTGAGGTGGGTGGGGTATCACACAGACTTATTTGCAAAGGTTCAACTATCCTTGCAACCCTGGTATAAATCCCACTTCATCACAATGTATGATCCTTTTAATGTATTGTTGGCTTCAGTTTCCTAGTATTTTGTTCAGTGTTTTTGCATCTATCTTCATCAGGGATATTGATTAGCCTGTAATTTTCTTGTGGCATCTTTGTCTGGTTTTAGTATCAGACATAAAATGAGTTTGTTATAATAAGAAAATTCAGTAAAGTTGCAGGATAGAAAATCAATATATAAAATTCTATTGCATTTCTTTTCTTTTGTTAAAGATATTATTTATTTATTCATGAGAGACACAGAGAGGCAGAGGGAGAAGCAGGCTCCCTGCAGGAAGCCTGATGCAGGACTCGATCAAAGGACCCTGGGATCACAACCGAGCCAAAGACAGATATTCAACCACTGAGCCATGCAGGTGCCCCAACTTTATTGCATTTCTACATACTAATAATGAACTATTAGAGAAATAAAAACAACTATCCCATTTAC